GGCCTCTTGGTGTTTTTGCTTGACTTCCTCTTTGTTGGGATGCATCGCTCCTGAGCTTGGAGGAGGTGACCCTTGAATATTAGCCAGCTGTGAATATTGGGCCCCTCTTCCTTCCAGGGCTTTGTCCCATGGTATTCTACCAAGCAGATCCCTGAAGAGGCCAAAGTCTGCTCTCCTGAAGTCCAGGGTAGGGAGCTTGCTGCGCGCCCTCCTCGCTGCCCTGAGGATCTTGAATTCCACCATTTCGCGGTCACTGCAGCCAAGCTTGACCTTGAGTTTGACATCCCCTACCAAGCCCTCCTTATTGGTGAGAATAAGGTCCAGCATGGCACCTCTCCTCGTGGGCTCCTCTGTCACTTGGAGGAGAAAGTTGTCATCAACACATTCCAGGAACTTCCTGGATTGCTTGTGCTCAGCTGCGTTGTCCCTCCAGCAGATACATGGTTTGTTCCTTTTTATTTGCCTTCTGGTTTTGGGAGCTTTAAGGTTCGTTCACTTTTTCAAGGGTTTGTTACTTACAGAATTTTGTTTGGTTTCATTCTTAAGAGTGTGATTTTTTCATATGTTGTCACGAATTGTGCGTGTTAGGACATGACTCTATTTTTGTAAAACAGTGCTCAAAGTGAAATTTGGCCTCTACACATCTAGAGATTCAAGCTTGCCAGTCTCTGATACCACAATAGGAAGTAAATCTGGTCTAACCATTCCCACTAAAATTCCTGTGGACCTCCTCACTGACTTCACTGAGAGCAGGATTTGTTCCTTTCTAGTTTGTATGAGCTGTATACGTTAATGGTTATAATGGTGTAGGAGATCAACTTTAGGTTAGTAAACTTCTCAAAGGGTGGATTTAAACTGCAATGAGATGAGAGTAGGTATAGGTAGATATAAGCTGCAGGCGACATGGTGCCTGTATAGGCGAGCAGCCCTGCGTTCTCCGCTCGATAGGCAGTTCTGCGTTCCCCGGGTCTGCGCCATAAGCCTGAACATTGGTAAGAGGAAAAAGAGTGTCTCCTGTCTGACATGAGTTGTTCTTCACAGAGGGGAAGAAGTAATCAGCAAAAGTTTGGTAACAGCCCTGGAGCTTCTGCAGCGTATTTTCTGCTAGTCCTTGTGGAGCTTTTCTCAAGAAGTATCTTGAATGACACACAAAGCTGGTTTGCTCTGAACTTAAACTAGGAGTAGCTAGAAACGTAGGGTACTAATGCTTGCCTGAAAGTAAACTCATCTCACTGGTTCCTAAGCAACATTTCAGCATGTAGCACCCACAACCCGATGACTCCATAGCTTTTGCTTTAACAGAATCGTGTTCCACACTGTGATACGCAAACTACAAGCAAGCGTTTGACAGATGGTATGTATTACGGGTAGGAGCTTTTGACAGATATGGGAATATAAGAATATTCTCATCTACTTTTTGAATAGTGTATCAGCCTCTTGCTGATGCTCTGGGATGGGAGCAAGGGCCTGCACAGACATACTGGAGCAATCAGATAAGGAACACCGAGAGTGCACAGCCCTTCCCTTGCTTCCAAAAGAGCATTTTAGTTTAAAACTGGCTTTTTAAAAATTGTCTTTGGCTCTCCTCACAGAAGTACAACTAAAAGCAGTTGTTTTCACTATAGTTTCATCCCTTCTCTACTTTTCCTACTTTTGTGGCTTCAATTACTAAAACAGTTTGCCACTCACCCCCCCTTGGCCAGCAAAAAAATGAAAATGCAGGAGTCGTGCGTATTAAAACACAAGCAAGTATTGCACCATTTCTCCCACTGCACAAGAAGTTGCAGTTCTCTGTCCGCCCTCAGGCAGTAGTCCTTGCTATGTGTATTGTTTCCTTGCTCTAATTTAGATGTTTGTGTAAGATCTTAAAGTAATGTTCTTCTACGTCTTAATAAGGTTGATGTAGTACAAAACACAAATTATTTCTATGCTGTAAGAAATCCGAGCAGGTGACTTCCATGATGTTTGAAGGTCGTATGAGCCACCTGCTGATAGAAAGAGTGATTATACATATGGACTGATGTGCTTAGTAATTAAAAAATAATCTTTATTATAACTTAAATGTGATAGGAAATATGGTAAGTACAAATGCCACAAAACTAAAAGCAACAAAAAAAATAATAAAAGAAGCAGAGGTCAGTACAAAAGGACACCTTGGAAGAATTCAGCTGATGGAATAGGCATGGTATAAAAACCATAATGTGGTGGTATCACCTTCTGCAAAAAGAGTCTATATCCCTCAGTAAACAAGTGAGAATTTTGAACTGTGCAAAAATGTACTTTTTTAATGAAAGGAAGAATATATATATATTTATAAATATACAGATATGTACATTGTTGTAACATTCACAGTAACAACCCCAAAACAACATGACCCCTGCCTGCCCCTATCATTGGCGCAGGAGGCTTCCTTTTGATCTGAATTGTTTGCAATCTTTTCTATGTAGTCTATGCAAATTTGGATACTTTAATTGACATCTAAAAAGCATTTCATGCATAATGAACACAGTACAGGAACACTCTTCTGTTAAATTCTATTCACCTCCCCTGTTAACTTAAGGCTCATAATCAACAGCTTGGAGCACTCACTGTCTTTCATCCTTACAGTGAGGGGGGAACGCATTCACTCCACCCTCTGTTTATTACTGCCTCCCAGGTCCACTTTAGTTTGTTCTAGTTCTTTATATTGAAATCACTCTATAGAAGCTATGATCCACTAATTAGAGTGTAAGAAATCCAATCCTGCCTGCAACTTACAGGACCAAATGGCTTTGGGGACTCATGCAATTAGCTGTATTCACTCCTTGTCGGAATAAATAAATGCACTTTACCTTTTCATTTACTTTTTGGAAACCTACATGATTGTTTGATTTCCCCCTCACAAATCTCTGGATTAATGATGGTTTGTTGCTGGAGGGCAAAAGAAAGGAAATAAAAGACCAGCAGAGGCATTTAGAATGAGTCACCAAAGTGACACCTCCCAGGGTTTTACATCATGCTGTTTCTGGAGGCAAAACTTGAAGAAACTTGCTCTATATTTCATTACTCACACAAAAACTGGGAAAGCCGAGTGGTGTTCCCTGCTGCTGGAGACTTTGCATGGCAGCAGATGCTCAGCTGGGGGTTGAAGAGAAAGCTTCTTTGCAGTCCTGCTCAGGTGGCCTCCTGCTTGTCCTTGTTAGATACAGTATCGCATGTCTCAAGCTTTCACGACAACTTCAAGGAAGTAAATGTAATACTTGGTAAAATATACGAAGATGCCAAATTCTAAAAACTCACAGAAGTTTCTTGAGGTTGAATAACTGCAATTACATTATTTGTTACAAATCAAAGTCTTGTTCCTCAGCGTCCGACTGTTCCATCATGAGCTGCAAAGAGGTGCCGATAGGAACTCTTGGTTCTGGATTTTAGATTTTGCTTTTCCTTAAGAAGTCTGTAAATTGCTACATTTTGGGACATTCTCATAGAATTCTTCAAAAGCCTTCCTTCTGCTCCCCTCCCTGAAGTGCAGCTCCATCCTACTTTAACGACTGTTAAATGCAGGCAGGTTCTTTTCCACCTAAAAAGCTGTCGCAGCTTCAGTTCCACGGCGGCTTCCAACTTTAACAAATTCCCGGGGGAATTTGTCCAGCTGTTCGTATGCCAGTCTCCCATCTTCACCTGAATACAAAATGTTAAAGCACAATAATGTGTTATATCACTGCCCTACAACATTAAAAATACTGGATTCTCTGCTCTTTGAAAGTACTGATCTGCCAGTAACAACTTTCCCTTCTTAAAATTTCTTATGTTGTTGAAGGCAAATTCAGAAATTACTTGGAAAAATTAAGCATGCTATGAATGTTCACCTTTTTTTTTTTTAATTTTCTCTTGTAATTTGCTGGTTTTATCTAGAGCAAAACAGAAGCAGACATGGCTTGTATGATTAGATGACAATATCTGTAGACTTGTCTTAATGATCTACGGTGCTTGTCGAGGTCTCGGCTGCAGCAGTGATACACTCAAGGCAGATGATGTTTATCCACTTCTACTTTGGACAATAGAAAGTTTACCCACTTCTCACCTCCTGGCATTTTAAAGAAGTGAGTCTAGCCACATCTTTATTTACATACCGCTGAAAAAGAGGAAGCAGTATGTTTGCTGAATTTAACTATTTGTGTCTCTGAAACCCTTTTCTCTTAGGTACTGTCATCTATACGCACCTATTCAACCTTGTGTGTTGAATTGACCATTAGGAATCAAAAGGTTCTCTGTATGTCATCTAGAAGAGTGGCAGTACAATCTCCTGGAGTTTACAAAATTGTCCCTGGGCTAATTGTTTTATAACCTGAGCAGTAACACGTCCAGCAGCAGAGTGAA